ATCCTACAAGGAGAGTCCTGCTCAACAGTAAATGAAAACTGGGTACAGCAACACTGGTGGCTCACAACACTGCTAAGTTTCTAGAAGCTCTTCTGTGTGGTTTTTTATTTTATTTATTGATACAGGGCCCTGCTATGCAGTTCAGACTTATAGTGATCCTTGTCTCAGCCTCCCCAGCACTGGGATTACAAGTGTGTACCACCATGCTCAGTTTCAGTGGCCAGCATGGGGTACTGGGGATCAAACCCAGGCCTTTGCATTTGCTAGGCAGGCACTTAGACCGCTGAGCTATCTCCCCAGCCCTAGAAGCTCCTCTCAAGGAAAAACTTAATACCATTTATACAAAATGCTAAGTTGGGGAAGCAGCCACGGTGAGCAAAGACCGTGATCCTGGGGTGCGGGAGGTGGGGACTGGCTGGGAAGCAGCAGCAGGGTGTGTTCAGGTCAAAGAATTGCCCTGCATCTTGACAGGAGTTTCGGTTACTTGGATATTTGGTCAGAATTCGAGGATACACATTTAAGATTTGTGTATTTCACTATATTTTTCATTAAAATATAAATATTGACCTATAGGTGATGTGTATTCTTAGGTATTTGGGAAAAAATACATTAATGTCTCTACTTCCTTATAAATGAAACAAAGCCACACAGTGGTGCACGCCTGTAATCCCAGCCCCTGTGGAGGCCGAGACAGAAGAATCAAACGAGGATCAGTGAGTTCCAGGCCAGTCTGCACTCCATAATGGAATGCTCGCTGTGTCAAAAACAAACCAAAAACCCCATAAACAAAAATGAAAAGGTGACCAGGGATGGAGGACAGAGACATCAGTGGCTGTAAGGCCAAGTACAGAGTATAAAGGTTATACAGTTTATCACAAAAACCTTGTTTAATCCTGCTGCATGCCTAGAAGTTAGGAAAATGTTGGCATCAACAGTTTACATAGGAGGGCCATGGAGATAGCTCAGCAGTCTAAGCACTACCTAGGCAAGTGCAAGGACCCAGGTTCAATCCCCGACACCACATGCCGTGCTGGCCCCAGCCCAAGCA